ACTGCGCGATTATTTTTTTTCCCACAATAATCGAATATTAGTTAAATGTTCGATTATAATCGATTAATCGAATAATCTGAGAGTATTACGATTTTTAACCGTAATGACGAATAATCGAATAGTAATTGACGAATAATCGAATAATCGATTAATCGAATAGTAATTGACGAATAATCGAATAATCGATTAATCGAATAGTAATTGACGAATAATCGAATAATCATACTTATACTACACAATATATTATAGTGTTTTAATAATAATAATATACTCATTTTAGTAATCAAATAAATAGTCTGGTTTAAACGATTTATTCATAAAAACATAAAATAAACTTATACAACAAATATATGAACTGCCGTTTACCTTAAGGGTCAGTCTTAATCTTAAAGTTATATTAAAATAAAATAATATTTAAAATACTGGTTTATCTATATAGTCCTTATTCATAGTTAAAAAAATAAGCTGGCTGGCATGTTCGTTAGTTAACGATGATCTATGATCAGTTAATATACATCCACCTTTACTAAAAATACGTTCAGACGCTACGCTTGTAGCTTGAACGGTCATAACTTTTTTTGCTGAAACGAATATAATAGGGTAAGTTGTCTTGTTTATGTTCCACCAATCTAGTGGATCTTGTTCAACACCAATTTTTGGATTGTTAATGTACAAGTCCAATTCATTTTTTATTTTTTGGCTTAATGGAACTTCCTAAAATGATAAAATTAAAAAAGTAGTAACAATAAAGTAAAATAATTTATCTTCAAATTCTTACTTGAAAATTATCCATATTATTATTTTCAGGAGTACCAAAAATTACAGACAACCCAGTTTTTGGTTTTTTTTGTGATGCCAGTTGATTAGAAATATTGTTGACGTAACCATCACTTTCGATACTCTCGTATGTTGTTTCACAAAATTCAGCGATGGTTTTCTTCAAAGCCGATAAATTATCATACTCAATGTACTCGATTTTGAACCTAGGATCCAATACGGTACACATAATCAGTAATTTGTTATCTTGATAGCGTTGATCTAGCACCTCAATAATAGTTGTATACATGTTTTTAATTTGTCCTCCGTTGATGTCCGTATCATCACTTTCATTTAGTTGTGTTATTTGAGATAGTTTTGATTTAAGCGAAGAAATAACTGGTAGTATAGCCGAGCCCGTGACGTATGAATCGCCAGCTAAATTATCAGTTATTTCCCGGATTGGCTGTATAATACAACTTAGGTTTTTTAATACGATAATGTCTGATTCTTGAAGAGCTAAATTTTTATATCCACCATTTTTATATGTTCGTAGGAAACTTGTGAGTCCAAGTTCTTGTTCAATAATAACATTAATTAATTCCAACATTGACCACCAACGCGTTTTAGAGTAAGATGGAAATTTTTTATTTGGCAAGCTAAATTTTTCCTGAACTTTTCCCATTTCTCGAACTGCCTTCCAACTATGGGCAAATATATTATGGATTAATTTGACTTTATGGACTACATCTTTTATCTCGTCCATATTAAAGATGCGTGAAACTGCCGTGTTAAGAGCATGGCCAAAACAAGCTACATGTGGTATATTTAAATTGCGTACAGCCTTTAGCATATTAGATCCATAATCAGTCACTATCGAACATATTTTCCTATCCGGTATCTCATAATCTAAAAACAACATTTGAACTACATCGGCTATATTCTCCCCAGTGTGGTCTTCCGACAGTTCAATGCAACCCAAACAGGCTGAAGTTAATTTGAAATTAGCGTTGATAAAATGACACGTGAGACCAATAAACGGTTGGTTTGAACTTGAAGTCCAGCAGTCCGTGGTGAAAGTAAAAACATCGGCGCTCCTAATTATGTTTCCTATAATGTTACGTGTTTCACTATACATAGACGGTATTCGGGATTCTGTAAGAGTTTTTCGACCTGGTAGCTTGTAGCTAGGATTTAACGCATTCACAAATAGTTTGAATCCCTCCTTTTCCACTAAACTGTACGGCATCATATTTGTTGCAATGAAATAGGCAAGTGCATTATCAATTTTTTTTTTTGCACTTTTATTCAGAGTGAATTGTGTCATTTTCATTTGTTTAGTTAGTGTTGAATTTGTTTTGTGAACAATGGCTATTGATGAGGTGTCAGTAATAGGAGACGGATAAATACATGCATCGGTTGAATCTGATTGACCTAATTGTGGTTCATAATTTGAAGTAGAAGGTTGTGATATTAATGAATTTGATTCCTCCATCTCAGACCTAATAAAAATATTATGAAATAGGTAAATGTATATTTAGACATTTTTATCTTTAATTCAATTAACAAAAAAAGGGGGTCAAGTGGATATCGCTCCGCAGTCCGCTGTACAGTAGGTTACAAGTACGTCACTGAATAATGGATGGTATTAAATTTGAATTCAATGATATAATATCATTACAATTATAGCATGTAGTATAGGGATTATGTGCGTTTTTTGAATTAAACTTGATGTCTTGATTTATTATTCCTTACAAATACTTTATGATCTGGATCAGATCCAGAACAAATATACAAGGGTTGAGGGATTTTGGTGAAAATTGGACACTTCGGCATGGATGATACATACATAATTATTTATTCATCAAAATATTAAATTTATAAATAAACAATGCATAAAATGATAAAGTTTCAAATAAATTTTATTATTGTTATTTAAAAACAATAATTATACATAAAACAATAGTAATTTGTATTTTGTATTTTTGTTCCTACAAATTAAAAATGGTAAATTGTTGTTTTGTACCAGGGTGTAGTACTGGTTTGGTTACTTTAACTTTAATTAATGTATTATTTTAACATGTACCATACCTATGTATTTTATGTTTCATTTATCATTATTAGGGCTCGGATTTATATGTATTTATATAACCAAAGTATGTATTATTTATACAACAAAAATATGTGCTTAAACATTCAAAATATGTATTATCAAAAAAAAAAAAAAAAATGAATAATAATTTATAATATAATAAAATGTAATAAAAATGTATGTTTATCTATTATCTAATTATATCGGTCAAAATTTCATCGATCTACTTTCATTTCTTTTGGAGTTATACCAAAAACCAAAATCAATTTTGTCGAAAATCGGGTTTGCGTAAAAACTCGCGTTTTTTCCTTAATTTTTCATTTATTTTTCACGGCGCTTTTGAAAACTACTGGGCATTTTAAATTTTGACCTCCCCAATGCACCAACGATATTCACTTTCCTATCGAACAAGATACTGAAGTTGCAAATCGATGCATTATTTCGACTACTTATCGTGTACACCAGGCCACCAGTGGTGTCCAACCCGCGGTAGATTTTGATGCGGCCCCCACTTCAATTTTAAAACCATGAATTAATTATATATAATATATTAATATTACGAGAACAAATTTATTTTAAAAATATAAAGATAAACCAACCATCAAATAACGTCCGTGTTTTTACCGTTGCGGCATTTTATCTTATATTACATACGGACGTGTGCATCGAGCCTAAAGATAAACGTTATTACTTATTAGTGTTTACCTTTATTGGCTCCAGATATTGATTCATTAGTTTCACAAAAAAAAGCAATTTCACATTAAAAAAGGTGGGTAAGTGGATGTCGCTCTGCTGTACAGTAGGTTACAAGTGGGTCACTGTATAATGGATGCTATTAAATTTGAATTCAATGATACAATATCATTGTATAAGAAAAACGTGTCCGTAAACGGCTCAAAAAGTGTCAAAATATTTTCAAAATTGTAGGGTGTATAGGAAATGCTAATATAAACATTCAGTGAAATTTTCATGTATCTACAGTAATTCGTTTTTTAATTACAACAAAAAAAGGAAATTGCCACATGAGAAATCGAGTGAATATCCAATGTTGTAAAAATTTGAATTTCAAACGCTCATAAAAATTTAATTTGACTTTCCGGTAGAAATTTTTTTATTGATAAAGGTAGACAATCTTATGAGTAATCTTGTATTAGATTTTCAAATCTTAGATTTAAAAAGAAAAATTTTTACGAATTCTTAACTCAAAATAATTTGCTAATTTTCGTGATTTTTCCATATTTTGTCAATTTTTGAACTTTAAATGCTTATAAAAAAAAATTGTGACAAAGGATTTTTAATATTTTTCATCTGCCTTTGAAACAACATATTAGGAACCTTCTATTAAATTTTCAAGCTTTCGCAACCAACAAATAAAATTTTATTGAAATTTTTAAAAAAAAAACTAAAAAAAAATGGAAAATGAAAATGTCCCTAAACAGTTCAAAATAAATCAAAATATTTTGAAAATATTATCGTGTATAGAAAATGCAAATATAAACAACCAGTGAAAATTTCATGTTTATACGTTCATTTGTTTTAGAGTTACGCCAATAACCAAAATCGATTTTTTGGAAAATCGATTTTGCGTAGAAATTCCCGTTTTTCCTTAATTTTTATGTTGTTTTTCCCGGCGCTTGTGAAAACTACTGGGAAATTTAAATTTTGAACTCCCCAATGCACCAACGATATTGACTTTCCAATCAAACAAGATACTGAAGTCGAAAATCGAAGCATTATTTCGACTACTTATCGTGTACACAGATACAAAAAAAATAAAAAAATAAAAAAATAAAAAACACACATCATTGTAAAATCAATACATTCATCGTTTCACTCAGAATCTAAAAAACTAATGCTTTATCTTTTTTAAACTAAAACTTTTTTTATTATAAATAAATATATTTTTCTGTGTACTTATAATTGAATTTTTAAATATTAATACTTGTAAAAATATTTCTGTTTATTATTCGCTATTGTAAAATTATAAAAAAATGTATTGTTGTATTATAGATTATAATTTAATCATTAAATTTGAATGTATTATTATTAAAAAAAGTATGTGTCCCACTACAACTTCTACCTATATGATGTGGCCCAGTCTTCACAAAAGGTAGGACACTCCTGGTGTACACAGACAAATGAAACAAAATTTTGACCAACAGTTAATAAATAATAATTGAAATATTGAATACTCGACATACATATACTTTTATAAAATGTATAAAATCTCAAGGGTTAGCTAATATAACTCGCGTTGGACTCGTTGGAGGTTCGAATACAATATTATTTTAACGCTACAAAAATTAGTATTGCATAACCTTTAAAAACAATTTCATGCATTGCAAAAATTATATAGGTATTGGGTACTATTTTCGGTAAAATTCAAAACTCTTAGCAATCGTAAACTCGTGATAAATAATTACAATTTGTATGTATTTTAAATCACACTTATATTGAACTAATATTTTACTATATTGAATCATGATCTGCATTAGTGCTTAAGTTATAAGTGTTTACTTACTCATCTTCGTCTATGGAAACATTGGAAACGTCTTGATTAAATGCACTTCCTGATAATCCCATTCGAATTCGATCAAGTTCAATAAATTTTGGCTTGTGCTTAAATTTTAAATGGTTCCACATGTTCGTTGTACTTGATCCTGGATTTGCATATTTCTTTTTACATATTGAGCATTTCACTTTAAGTCCACCATCGTCTTTGCTAAAAACTTGCCATACCTCACTCATATTGAATACTTACTTGGTACTTGGTATTTAGTACTAATGAAATAAATAATAAATATTTAATTATATGAATTCCTCAATGTATATATAAGATATAGTTAGCCACTAGTAACTAATATAACTAGGAGGACAGTAGGTAGTAAGTACTTACTTTCGTTGTTTTGTATTTCTGTAATCTGTATAATATATTATTTGGTATAATTATTAAAACTCACATGTGCTGATGGAGAATGGAGACGAACTAGTTACGAAATCGGAAATAGTGTTTAGCGTCCGACGTCCGTACTCCGTGTAAACAATAAGTCAATAAGAAATATTACGAATGAATAATAAAATATAAATAGCATCTAATAATTAACCATAATCATTATCAGTTTATTTAGATTATAAATATAAAATGTCATTGTATAATTTGGTAGACCCGCGCAAACATGCAAGACTTATAATTATTATTTTATTTTTATTTAATATTATTTGTTTTTTTTATTTAAAAATAGATAACACTCGGCAGCAAGGCCATTAGGAAGACATATATTATTATATTAATATTATTTGTTATATTTATTATTTAACTAAAATAACTATTTATTTTTTTGTTTTGAAATGTTATGCGCTTGGTTATTCGATTATATTCGATTATATTCGATTATTCGATTATATTCGATTATTCGATTATATTCGATTATTCGATTATATTCGAATATTCGATTATATTCGAATATTCGATTATATTCGAATATTAATCGAATAATCGGTTAATCGGTTATTCGATTATTTATCCTTCATTAAAAATAATCGATTAATCGAATAATCGATTAAAATAATCGATTAATAAAAATAATCGCACAGCCCTAATCTAGTGTAGTATAGAAGTCTGTGATATAGAACGTTCGATGACCAACAAGCAGGCTGTTACGCACTTACGCGGTCAAATTAATGATCCCAAGCGCGGTTATTTTGAATATGACAAAAATACAGAACATGTCCTATTGATAAAAAGAAGCCATTTATGCAAAGTATTTAAGTACATATGGTTCATATTGCTTAATACATACCTTCCTTAAACACTTAGGAATTTTAATGCATAATGGCATTGGTTAAATCAATTGTAGGTACACATATTATTATATTTTTAATTATTTACCATATTTATAAATATAAAAACGAGTAATATATAGTAGGTAAAATATCGTTCTAGTATAAGAATAAGTAGGTATATTACATATTATATTATATATGCTATAACTTATTTAGCAAAGTTGGGCAAGTTATTCATTTTATTCAACTAGTTAAAGTTATGCGTTGATACAAAAACTAAGTTAAACTATAAGTTAGTTTGGTAAAAATAGTAATTTAAGTTAGAATAGAAGTTAGTGTTTTTTAACTTATTTAGTTTTTTTTATATAGGTAGTTTAAAATACACATTTGAAAACCGTTTGTTCAAAATATATTACGTAAGTATTACAGAAAGGAATTACTCGGTGCAAGGCCGTAACTGAAAAAAATATGAGGCGGGGGTCCGAAATTTTTTTAATATGGATACTGGACACATCATTTGTACATGAAAAATATAAAAACTCTTGTTCTACCTTAAAAAATAAGTCACCCCCCTCTCTCCTACCGCTACTGCCTTGACTGTTTCAGTACCTGACTTAAATTATTGAAATATTGGTGACAATAGAAGAATTTTATTGAACAACTGGTAATTTGATAAAGTGTTTCAACTTTCAAGTAGGTAGGTAATAAGTACTAACTAATAACCCCTATTTCTTGGAAACGAATTGGAATATCAGTCATATGAACATAATACTAGATATAAAAAAACATTAATATAATTAAAACAAATTGTCAAAAGTCTTTTGGACTTGGAAGGTGTATGAATATAGCAGCTGACTAGTTGAGATGTGTCAAATATCTTAATAAAAATATTTGTAACCTTAAAAAAGCATTATTAAAATTAACATAATATATAGACGTTACGAACTGTTTGATAATCGAACCAGATAAATAAAAATAAAAGTCAGTTCTATAAGGTTTCTATTAGGTCTCACTAATCTAAAATCTTTAGTCAATAATTCTGTGGTAAGGTGGCTAAATGATAAATAATATCCAATTTTACTATTTTAATGTTCAGTTTGAGTTCGATTAAATATTTGAAGAGTTCGGATCAGTTCGGGTTCGATAAAAAGTGTGTAGGTTCGGAACGGTTCGGGTTCGTAATTTAGAGAAAAGTTTGGTTCGGGTTCTGTTCGACCTTAAATATTATGGTTTTAACATCTCTATTAATATACTATACCTACTCTGTCCCACGAGAGATAATGCCACGCACCATCCAAAACTAGTTCCCCACGAGACACCCTGTCATAGGGGAACCAGTTTCGACAGCAGGGTGATGTAGAGGGATGCGCAGAACCGGCATGTTTTCTAGTGAGGCAGAGTATATTACAGTAAACTAACTTTTAAGAATTGATAGAATTTTGTAAAATGTAAATTCGATCTCATGTATTTGCAATATTTTTTTTTTTTTTATTATTCTACATTAGTCTAAATTTCACCTAATATGTATGTTTCCTCTTAATAGTAATATATAATATACAAGTAATATTTGAAGGAGGTGAGAAAACACATTAAAAAAAAAAAAAAACTAACTAAATGTAATCAGTGTTTTTGATTTGTTTGTTTTCTAAAAAATAAAGTCATTAGAACACAGAATTATTAACAGAATAAGAAATATACTAACACTGTGGTCTATGACATAAATAATTGATAAGAAATAATACAACAAGAAAAATGTCTATATCATAAAATTTATAGTTAATAATATAATTAGTAGCTTTAAGGAACATTTGGATTTTTGGAATGAAAAAAAAACTACAAAAAAACTGGTTACTTATTTTTTTTTTTAATGAGTTGGATTAGATTATTTGACACATTCAACTCAACTAGTTAAGTCACAAAGTTATTATGAATTAAAAGTAACTAGTTAAGTTAAAAAAGTTACTTAAAACTTAAAAGTAACTTTCTAACTAGTTTTTGTACAGCTTTGGATTTTAGAACAGTGTTTCCCAACCTATTTGTCACAATGTTCGTAAACTAATAAAGAAACTTCTAGATTATATTAAAAAAATAAATAAATATAACCTTAAATTGATTAAAACTTTTTGTTCTATTTTATTGGATATATCTATGTATAATAATAATTTAAATTATGAAGTATAACTAGAATTGTTGGACATAGATCTTACAATGGATATAATTAAATTTTTAGTACCTACCTAACACATGCAGGTATTATTTTATTGTGATTGTAGAACATTTTATGATCATATTATTATATCAATTATTTCATATTTGTATATTTTATTGTATGTAGAGACTAGAGTTATACCTAAATATTTTAATTTGAAAATTCAATTTATATTTAACAGAATTAGTTTTAAGAATTAGAACTAGATCTAATTAGAAATAATTTAAGAGGACGCCACACCACTCGTAATTCGGTTGTAAAAACTGTTTCGCGCGGGACAACTTTTCTCGCATCATAACTATAATAGAATAACCAAAATTTTACAACACATAGAGAAGAATTTTATCTATGTCGTAGCGTTTTTATTTTTTGGATAACATAAATACGATTAAAGTTATTGGTTTGCGAACATTAGGTTTTTTTGTATTTTTCAATTAATTATTAAAAATTATTGGGAAAACGAATTACTGTAGATACATGAAAATTTCACTGAATGTTTATATTAGCATTTCCTAAACACCATACAATTTTGAAAATATTTTGACTCTTTTTGAGCCGTTTACGGACATTTTCAGTTTTCAATTTTTTTAGTTTTTTTTTCCTATAAATATCAATAAAGTTATATCTGTTGGGCCAAAAAGTGTAAAAAATTAATACAAGGCTCCTGATATATTGTTACAATAGCAATTGAAAAATATTAAAAATACATAGGCATAATTTTTTTTTATAAGCATTTTGACAACATTTATCAATCATCGTAATTAATAAATTATAAAATGTTCAGTTTTTATAGCTAAGGATTGAAAATTTAAAAAAAAGATTCTCATAAATAGTTCATACTGTAACCAAAAAATTTGAAAAATATATGAACACAGTTATTTTGTACAGACATTTTAAATTCAAATTTGGACGAAATTACATATTAAAATCAATATTAACGATCTTGGGTTTTTTGTTGTAATTTAAAAATATTATTCGGGGATATATGAAACTGAAAAATCAAAATATTATGGCCTATCCATACAATCTACCATAGTACAAGGAATAAGAAGTATGCTCAATGATAAGACTGTGCATATTATAAGGGGCAATGAATAATTTATTCATAAATTCCATATAATTTAATACCATAGATAAGTATATAATATGTCTTATACCTATAGACTGACATACCGTCTCCGCTCAGAATCGTTTTTCTTATACAATGATATTATATCATTGAATTCAAGTTTAATACCATCCATTATACAGTGACCCACTTGTAACCTACAGTACAGCAGAGCGAAATCCACTTCCCCACCTTTTTTTTTTTTTTTTTAATACAGAATTTTATACTCGCGTATAATATTATAATAAGTTAATAACTATTGTAATGATTAAATATTTGTTTGTATATACATATTCATACGTCTTATTTAATAATATTGAATTTAGTAATTCATCTTGTGTATTTAACTTTGAAATAATTTTTATAAAAGCTTCTTTATCGAATTTTAAATTTTTTATTTCATCTAAATGAATGGGTTTTGGATAACGTTGATTAAGTGTAATATTGCAACATGAATCATTTAAAATACTTAAATCTAAAGGTAGTGTTGCAAAAGACGATTCTACTGTTTGCTCTGTTATTAATACGCCTTTAGTAGTATGAGCTTGACACCCACCTTTCAGAAATAATTTTCCAGAACTTTTCAATGTAATTTTACGAATAAAAGATCGATTATTACAAATTATTGTAATTGTTGTAGGCTTTTCA